ATGTGGGACGCGGCCTCAGCATGGCCAGAGAAGCAGTGCGTCTGTGCGCGCCCGGGATCCGAACCCAGGCCGCCTGCATCGGAGCGCACGCACTTAACCGCTAAGCCACGGGGCCGGCCCACATGAACTTTTGAGTTCATAAATTTCCCTCAACATACTCCTTTAGTTTTATTACACAACTTTTGGTATGTAAAATTTTCATTGTTGTTCGATTTTAAATATTTTCTAATTTTAATTATGATTTCTTCTTTGACTCATTTGTAACATAGAAATGTCTTAATTTCCAAAACTTTAGGTTATTTTTCATTCTTGTTGTTGATTGCCACCTTAATTTCAGTTTGGTCAGAAAGCATGATTTTTTGGGGGGGGACTTGCTTTATGGCCTAAATCCTGAATTTTTGTAAATGATTTTATGACTGCTTCAAAAATAATTTCTATTCTCTGTTTGTTAGATGTAGAGTTCTCTGTATGTGCATTAGATCGAATCTACTGTTATATTGATCGAGTTTCTTACTAATTTTTTGTCTGCCTGATCTAGTGATTCTGAGAGAGAAAGTCTCCCACAGGAATGGTGGAATCTGTCTGTTTCTCCTGTAAATCCGTCCATTGCTGCTTCCTCTGTGTTGAAGCTGTAGATTGGTTGTACATACGTTTAGAATTGTTATGTTTTCCTGGTGCATTTTTCCTTTTGCCCTTATGGGGTAATGCTTTTTACCCCTCATGATGTTTTTGCCTTGAAATCTGCTTTGTTTGATACTAACATAGCGCCACTATTTCACTTGGATTAGTATTTGCCCAAACTATAGTCCTTTATCCTTAATACTTTGGGTGTGTTTCTTATAAATAGTGTATAGCTGTGTTGTTCGTTTTTCATCCCTTCTGAGCACCTGCCTCTGTTGGGCAGGTTGGCTGCAGTCGTGTACAGTGTTTTCCATCCACACTTGCTGGAATCTGCAGATGCAGAACCCATGGGGATGGAGGGCCGACTGTGTATTTACTGAGATCACTGAGGCAGCGAAAGGACATCATTTACCATCCTTTCATGGGTACCCTTCCTCCC